CATTGTAAAGTAATATTTATAAAATAAAGCACTTTTGTTTTTTCTTTTTAATTATACAAATGGAAAACTATAAGATACGCTTTTTATACTTTTGTTCAATGCATATTAACTGTACAACTTCTACATCCAAGATACTGTGATAAAAAGTTGATAAGACACAGCTTTTGCCCCCAGGGCATTTTTATAGATACCTGCACAACTAACCATTAGATGGACCAGAAAGCATTTTATGATAGAATGGATACAAAATAAATTTCCAAATTATCACAGCCCGTAGATAACATAGCTGAAATTTGGTTGGATCTTGGAGTATTGGCTTGGACTTTGACCCTCAGATGACGGTGATGGGTGATAGCTAAGGGAAGGGGTGTTGTGAAGTTGAGGAAGGACATTCAGGATGGAATAGTATGCTGAACAAAAGCAAGAAGTGAGAAAAAAAAAAAGCAAAGGTGTGTTTAGATAACTACAAGTTGTCCTTTGTAGTGGAAGAAAACACTGGTAAATAAAATCTCAGACAATACACTGAGAATGAATTTGAATGTCAGACTGAGTTTAAACTTTGTAGGCAGTGGAGAACCACAGATACTTTTGAGTACTAGAATAAAATGATCAAGACTGTACCTTACGAAAATTATGTGAGATTTAAAAATTTTAAAAGTAATGATATGCCCATTTGAGTGTAGGTAGATGTTCATATAAGTGTTTTCTAAATATCTTTTTATTTTATTATATAAATAGCAAATATGTTTTTGTTTTTCTTTTAAACTCCAAGAAAACCTTTTTAGAACTCCTTAGAAGAGCATAAGAATTTCCTGAAATATTTTAATATCTAATTTTCCTTGTCATTATTTATTTATATTTTTATCATTTATAAATTGACAATGAAGTATTCATTTGCATATATTTGTTCCCTTTGCCTTTCTTTTTGCTCAAAAAGTGTTTGTGGAGCAACTATAAGTGTAGAATATTTAATTTTGATTAAGTTCTGGGCCTGGAGATGGTCTTTCAGTCTGAGAAAGTTTGAATATCATTTATTTAAGGAAAAAATTCCTAGCACTTAAGGTAGCAGAATTTTATAGTTGATACTAATTTTTCTATTTATTAAATATTTGGAGACTCAAATTTGCTTTATTTGTTCTTCAATTTCCTCTAAATTTTTAAAATGTTTTTCTTTCATTGCTTTTTACTAATTCATTTAATTGAGAATTGCTAAACTCTTTTGAACAAATGAAGTGTACTTTAGGGGTACTGTTTGTGTTCAATGTAGAAAATTGATTTTAGGCTTTATTATTTTTACATATGTTTTTATTGATTTTAGAGAGGGAAGAAGGGAGAGGGAGAGAGAGAAACATTGATGTGAGAAACATTGATCAGCTGCCTCCTGCACATACCCCAATCGGGGACCAAACCAGCAACCTAGGCATGTGCCCTGACTTGGGATAGAACCAGCAACCTTTTGGGGCACGGGACTGTGCTCAACCAACTGAGCCATACCAACCAGGGTGATTTTCGGCTTTAATTAAATCAACTTTTACTTTACCTGCTCTAAACTTTCCACTGTTAAACATATTTCTGGTGTAGTCAGTGGTACTGGCTACCATTTGTCAATCAAATAAGTTGACCTGCTAATTATCTGCAAATGACATGTCAAGGATCAAACTTTGGGGGAGGAGGCTGACTCCAGCAACCAAATGTTCTGGCTCCGGGAGACTTGCTGACTCTCAACCATAAAACCCAGACCCCTGCTTGACCAGTTTCAAGATAATCATTAGAATGGACTGTGCTGACTAACACATAGAGAACTTTCAACCTCCCTCCTCTTCTTTGGTCTGCTTTCCCTCTCCCTCCTAATAAAAACCCCTGCCTGCGCTGAGATATTAAGATGGTCTTTGGGATGGAAGTCCCCCATTTTCTTGGGCTGCCAACACATGAATAAACCATCTTTCCTTGCACCATCACCAGTCCCTTGAGTACTGGCCTTCAAAGTGGCAGGCAGCAGAAACTGAATTCGGTATCAGAATCTTACTTGATAAAAAGGGTCTTTGCAGATGTAATTAAATAAGAATATTGAGTTGAGATCATCCTGGATTATCTGGATGGTCCCTAAATCCAATGGCAAGTGTACTTAAAAGAGATAGAAGAAAAGACAGAAGCAGAGGAGAGAAGACCATGTGAAGATGAAATCAGAGATTGGAATGATGCAACCACAAGTCAGTGAATTCCTGGACCTACCAGAAGCTGGATAAGGCAGGAAAGGGTTCTTCCGTAGAGCCTTGGGAAGGAGTGCAGACCTGATGACATCTTGACTTTGGACTTCTGGCCTCCAAAACAGTGAGAGAATAAATTTCTATTGTCTTAAACATTCAGTCTGTGGTCATTTGTTAAGGCAGCTCTAGAAAACTAACATGCTATTTTATACCAATTATCTAATTAAGGATTCTGCTATGTTGTTTTATTTCATAATAGTTCAGGAAAGTCAGTATCTCTACTCCAATTCTTGTCTCCACCCAATGGAGACATTATTTGTTTTGTGAGGTTTGATGAAAACCGAAAGGTTAGTACTTCTGGGTTATTTTTGCCTACCATAGATGCCCCAGAAAGTCCATCCAGCGCACAAATATGAAATTTCTGAATAAAGTAGCCTCAACAAGTGGTCTGGAGATTCAAATGCTCTTCAGAAAAATGGCACTGGTCCTAGAAGCATATTTCTATGTGGGAAAAGGTCCATTAACAAAGTCCTACAAGTTGGCAAAGCAGCTGGGTCAGGGACCCAGGAGACCTTGCTTTTGGTCCTATCTGTGGGCGACTTTCTCTCTGTGCCTCCAATGCCTCTTCCCATGAGGGTGTTAGGCACGTTCATTTCTAGAAACTTTTTAAAATTAACTATCCAACCAACCTAGAGTATGTCCACTCCCCTTGAGTCATTCTTCCTCACCCTGTTGGTCTATTTCCTATCATCCGTCCCAAGTGGTAGTTATACAAATGCTTGCTTGTCTGTCTGCCGCAGCTCCAAGTCCAAGGGACATAGTAACTGCACCTAGCCTATTGTCTGGCCCGCAGTGCACCCGCAATACAAACGCATTAATAAACACCCGTGGGTGAACATTTTGAGTGGAGAGCAAGAAAATGTCTATGTACTTTGGGGTCAGAATCAGACTGTTCAAGGATGCTTCCCCTCCCCCTCGCCCCCTACATCAAAGGCCATTGAATTTCAAGATTGAAAGATAAGCGGTCATTTAGGCCAACCCCCCACTTGATGCATAAGTGGCCTCTTCAGTCCTCCTTAGGAGCATGACCAAAATGGTTGGCTGAAACACCCGTGGTTACAGGAAACTCACTACCTCACTCCTTCTGGGCTTTTCCATCTGCTTTCCTTTCCCACTCCTCCTAATTACTGAAGTCGTTACGGTAGCATTTTCCACACCTGATGGAGCAGAGGCCAGGACGCCTGGGAGTGGAGGGAACCCTCCCTAACCGAGGGGGACCCTCGCCTAACCGAGCCTGAACCC